AAAGCGTTTCTCGTCTTTTTTTTCCAGTTTTATCAGTTGGTTTAATAAAATTACCTCACTCTGCAAATCTTCACTTGCTGGCATGGGAATAGAGAAAGTGTAAAACCTCTCAGGGTGTATGATATTTTTCCAAATACCATTAATCATTAAACACCTTCTATATGATCCATTGCTAAATATTATTGAATGCCAGAGGGTCTCTGAAGGAATTCTGGGGCAGCTGAGTTTGCAGGGGGAAGAGTCAGGTGTGAGCACCCATTTATGGAATCACAAATTCATGGAATATCCTGAGCTGAAGGGGCCCAGCATGGATTGAGTTCCACTCCTGGATGCTGCAGTTGCACTAAAAAAAAAAAAAAAAAGCAGGGAAATTGAGACAAATTGGGGTGGGGAAATGGAAATGATTAATTCAGAGCTCAAGGCAGCATCTGGAAAGCTCTGAACAAAGTCACAGGACCCCCCCTTTCCCACATCCACGGGGCTGTGTGGGGAATGTTGTTAAAATGGGTTAAAATAACATTTCAGAGGTTGTTTGGCATTCATTTGCATTGTGATAGGAAATCTTTAGCCTGGGCCCAGATAAGAAGATGTTTAATGGTTTATTAAATAATAATACTCCTAACCCTAATCTGTCATCCCAAAGGGTTTAAGTTTGTTCAGTCCAAACCTCAGGTTACACTGAGAAATCCTCTGAGGGACATGTCAACAAAAACCCACTGAGGTGCCCATTAACCTCAAAGTCAGGGGTGGAAAAAAGAATATCCAGTCAGAATATTAAAATCTGCTGTGATGGGATGGATCACTGTGCTATGAACCCTAAAATAAATGCTTCATCTCATGAAACAGAAGGAAAAAAATTTATAAATTTAACAATTGGAATAAGGCAAAGAAATTTAAGGTGTGGACTAGGTTAGACAAACCCAAAGCAGGTTTTGGGATCACTGAGATGCAATTGCTGGGCTTTTTATATCAAGCACAAAATAAGGAATACTAATAATGACCTTGGGCTAAAATTACATTTCACTTTTATTTAGAAAGATGTTCCACTCTGGGCACATGAATAAATCAACGTGCAGCACATCTGCTGCACGTTAAGTGTAACCTGACAGTTTGGAGTGGCAGCTCCCCCCAAATTAAGAGTTACTCCAAGCCCTGGTAATGGGTTCATCAACAGCCCATCGCCAGGTTGTGCATATTCAACCCACTGATTTTATGACAAACCATTTGTCAAGGTCCCCGAAGGTGAGAACAGATTCTGAGTTCTCAGCATTTCTGAAAATGTACACAGATGTCTTTTTTATTTTATTTAATTTTTTATTTTTTTTTTTTTTAATAAGAGTCTACTGGGGATGGTAATGATGTCACGGAAGTCAAAAAGCAGTGAGCTGACAAGAGGTGTTTTAAATTATTTTATTGTGTGAATAACAACAAGCTCTGCCTCCAGAACTGGCAGCTGTGGACTGGGGCAGCCAGCAGGGCTTTGTTAAGGAAAGATGCAAGGAAAAATGTAAAAAAAAAAAAACTTGTGTTATTATTTTCCTTCCAATTCTGAGTTCTGTTCTGCCCTTTAAGGCATCTCCAGTCCAAGAGGAGTGTTTCCCTTTGCACTCTCTGGTAGGAAATAGCTCTTGAGAGCCTCTTCAAACCTTTGTCAGGGAATTTGAGCTCATTTCCCACAAATGACAGGGTAAGATCGCCCTCGTGAGGCTTAAAAAATAAAGGTAAGGGGGGGAAAAAAATCAGCAGAGATTGGAGCTGTCCCTCCCCACACTCCAATCTTTAATCTCACTGTACAAATCTCTTCCTTCGCTTTCCTCTGCCTCAGGTGCCTCTGTCACCAAGCCAGGGATTTTCTCTCTCCCAAGGATTTTTTTTGCTTTTCTGATCCTCTCCTGATTTGCGTCCTGGAGTGGCCCAGGTGTGGGACGTGCCCTCCCAGAGGATCCCCACGGGGAGGGAAGGTGTCCATGGGCTGCTGAGTGCTGTGACACACCTGGGCACAGCTCCTGCAACAGCCAGAGGTGATGGCACAGCTCTGTGCAGAGCTTTATCGGGTAATAAACATTAACAATCCTCAGCCCAACTGCCAGAGTGCTGCTGGAATGGATTTGTTGTTTTTATGAAGATGTGAGGAGAGCGCTTTCCACCTTAGTTATCCCCACAGCGCATGCGCACACTGTCGCCATCTTGGGAAGGACGGCCTGGTTCGCGCGCTCGCGCCGCCATCTTGAGAGTGGTGTGACGTCATTTTCTGTGCGTTGCCCCCATCTTGAGTGCGGCGCCGCGAGTTTCCTCCCGATCCGCCATCTTGACTGTTGAGACACGTCAATTCCACCTGGAGTGTGGAATGACGCCAGTTCCTGCCTCCGCCGCCATCTCCGCGTGTCTTGTCACGTGATTTCCGCAGCCGCAGCCCGCTCCTCCGTGGGCTCCCTTCAATCCTCACCCGACAGTGCCACCACAGCCGGGCCCCGCGCTTGGGGCTCCCGCGGTGTTCCGGGCACCGAGCGGCGGCGGCAGGCACGGAAAGCGGCGGCGCTCGGATAAGTCACTCTTGCGGTACCGCCTTGGCCCTGCGGTGGGGCCGCAGAGCCGTTTGAGGCAGTGCGCATGCGCGCCGGTACCGCCGCCAGGGGTCGCCCCTCTTCCATCGGCCGCGCATGCGCAGTGCCCGCGCTCGTCGCAGGAGGCAGCATCGGTTCCAGGCCCAGCCGAAATCTCTGATTTTGTGTTCCAGTGATGCACAAAAAAACTTCTGAGCACACAAAGCTGTTTCTGTCGCCTTCATCGCGGTCATCTTTTCTCTCCTTTTCAGGCCCTTTATTTTTTCATTTATATGTGCAAAAGTTATATTTATATTTTCAAGCCTTATATATCCGTATTTTGAGTTCCTTATGCACTAAGATCCTTCACATAAAACAGTAGATATGGGGTTGTACCTTGAAATAAATTTTTGTATTTTTTCTACATACGTATAAAGAGGTAAGTTACAGTTCTTAGTGGTTTTTGCACACAATTCGAGACAAACGCCCACAGACGAACACACGGCGCACAGACAAAACCAATTTTATGAGCCAGAGACATAAAAACCTGTCTAAACTGTGAGGACAGCACCATTGGGGGCTGTCAACCCCTGCCCACGGCGAAGAGAGGGAAAGGGCAGCCAGGAAGGAAGGAATTATTCTATCACATTAAAATGTTCCTTCAGCAAGTCTGCTCTGTCACCTGGGGACACTGCCACTGCCACTGGGACAGTCAGCAGGAACAGGAGGAGGAGAAAAAGGGAGAGAGAAGGAAAGAGAGACAAGGAAAGAGAGAGCGAAAGGAAGAGAAAGAGAGCGAAAGGAAGAGAAAGAGAAGGAAAGAGAGAGAAAGAGACTGAAAGAGAAGGAAAGAGAGAAAAGAAGAGAAAGAGGAGGAGAGAAAGAAGAGAAGGAAAGAGAAAGAAAAGGAAAGAGAGGGAGAGAGGAGAGAGAAAGAGGAGGAAACAGAAGCAAAGAGAGAGGAAGAGAGAAGAGAGGGAAAGAGAAAGAGAAAAAGAAAAAAGGAAACAGAGAGAGAGAGAAAGAAGGAAAGAAGAGAGGGAGAGAGAAGGAGAGAGAAAGAGGAGGAAAGAGAAGAGAAAGAGAAGGAAAGAGAAAAAGAAGAGAAAGGAGGAAAGAGAAAAAGAAATAAGAGAAAGAGAAGGAAAGAGAGAAAAGGAAAGAGAGAAAAGAGGGAAAGAGAAGGAAAGAGAAAAAGAAAGAAGGAAAGAGAGAAAGAGAAGGAGAGAAAGAAAAGTAAAGAGAAGAGAGGGAAAGAGAAGGAAAGAGGAAAAAGAAGAGAAAGAGAAGGAAAGAAAGAAAAAGAAAGAGAGGAGAGAAGGAGAGAGAAAGAGGAGGAAAAAGAAGAGAAAGAGAAGAGAAAAAAAGAAAGAGAGAAAGAGGAGGAAAGAGAAAAGCAAAGAGAAGGGAAGAGAGAGAGAAAAGGAAAGAAGAGAGGGAGAGAGAAAGAGAGAGAAAGGAAGAAAGAAGCAAAGAGAGAAAGAGAAGAGAGAGAATGAGAAAAGAAAATAAGGAAAGAGAGAACAAGGAGAAAAGAGAAGATGCCAGCTTGGTGAGAGGGTGCAGCGATAAAGCACAAGTCTGGGAACAGGACAAAGACAGGGACAAGAAAAAGGAGAGAGGAAGAGCAGTGGAGGGGAGTAGGAGAGAGATGAAGAACCGTAGAACCATTTAGGTTGGGAAAGAACTCTGAGATGTTTCCATTGACCAAAAACTGTTATGCAGATGAAATTCACCTCATCTTGTTTCTAAGTGCAGCCGATTTTGTAAGGAACAGAGCTTAAATAAAGATATATTTTCCATATCTGTAGTTTTTCATACAAGGTGGTAAATAAACAGCTAATTGCACCTTCAGCTTTTTTCATTTGTTTTTCACTTCCTCCTTCTGAAGAGCAAGGAGTTTGCCCACATCTGTTAGCAGGTTCTTTCGCTTCTTCTGCCTCTTTTTCCTGTGCATCACATGCCTGGGAGAAAGACCTCCAGAATACAAGAAATAATTATTTTTTTTAGTTGACGGCAGAAAAGCAAATTCAAATGCTTTAACGATGCAGATAATCTCTAATTTTAGACATAACAATGCATTCACTGTCAACTTAAATCTCCCTACTTATCCTACCCTCTAATTAACAATTGATCGGAGAAATGCTGAGGGGTGACAGCATCCATCTGATAGCAATGTTTATCCCTTTGCTTGGGGTTGCAAGACCTGTTTCTGTGCGTGAACATGATATGAAATAAAAAGTAAAACGAGGGGAAAAGGGGAAAAAGCGCTGGCAGGTGACACAGCCCCCCGTGAGGTTTGGGATACGCATTCCCGCGTGTGTCCCCAGCTGACGGGATCTCAGCTGTGGTGGAGCTGTGTTGTGCTGCCAGGACAGTTGCTTGGAAAAAGGAGGAGAAAAAAAAACAAAACCTAAACAAATCAAAGAGGAAAAACTCACCCAGGCAGGCAGCAGCAGGATCTGGCGTGGCTGAGGTTTCCAAGGCTACTGCAGCCACACTTCCAGCTGGGACACGGCCGCTTTTGGGGCCATTTTGTAGAATTTTTAGTGTTTGGTAAAGCCACTCGTGGCTCAGGTTGTGTGGTGGGGGGTGGGAAATTGAGGAATTATTTGGCACAAGCCTTGCAGGTGGCGGGGTTTGGGAAATGCGAGCTTTCCTAAAGAACTCAGAGCGGTGTTTCCAGCTGAAATCCGACACCACAACCATCGGGAGCCACAGAGGGGCCGACATCGTCCTGCAGGTAGGAACGAGGCAGCTGAGCATCCTAAAACAGGTGGAGGATGGAGGGAAGGGAGGAGGATGCGCCGGAGGTCCCGCTTTGTGCTGGGATTGAGCACCAGAAAATGGGTTTGGCAAAGGAGGGACCAACCTGGAGCCACCTCCAGCAGCATCCCCTGCCTGCTCCCAGGCCGCAGGTGTAGCAGATCTTCACGCAGCCCTGGAATTCTCCGCCTCAGACAACAGCTTCATCCTTCAGGACTTCAACTCCCCCCACGGCACCTTTGTCAACAGCTGCCAGGTCCAAAACGCGGCTGTCAGGGTGAGCCCGGGGGATATCCTGAGTTTCGGCACAGCGGGAGTGTCCTTCGAGCTGGTGCTGGATGGGGCTGCCCAGGTAGGGCTGGGGATGCCCAGGGAAGGTGCTCAGGGAAGGGTTGGATGCTCTGGCCCATGGAAGGATGCCCAGAGAATGTGCCCAGGGAAGGGTTGGATGCTCTGGCCCATGGAAGGATGCCCAGAGAAGGTGCCCAGGGAAGGGTTGGATGCTCTGGCCCATGGAAGGATGCCCAGGAAAGGTGGGTGGGTGGGTGCTGTAGCTCAGGGAAGGCTCCAGAAGCAGAAATTCACTCATCTGGTTCATCTGGGAGATCCTGAGGAAAGGTGCCGAAGGTGGGTGTCAGGAAAATCCACAAACTCCAGAGGTTTATGTCCAAAAAGGAGAGGAATCCGTCATCTTTAGTTAAATAAGCAGAACCCATGGGGTTTTCTATCTCTCAGGGTTTTGGAGGGTGCAGCCTCCTTTTATCCCAAACTCCTGGCCACACGGTGCCGTCTTCCTTTCCCCCTGGCCGAGGCACTAGGGAGGTACAGCCTTCCCAAACCAACACCTATCCCTCCTTGAACCACCTGTTTTACCCCAAAGCTCAGAAATTCAGCCTTGTCTTTTCAGGAGCCAGGCTGTCTGGGGTCTGTAACAAACCTGCTGCCCTAAGCAGAGACATTAAGACCCATTTCAAAGGGTCTTAATTAACACCCACACCTTCACCCATCAAATTATTTGTAAAGATATTAGAACACATCGTTCCTGACACGGGGGAGGAGGAAATGAGAAGCTGGAGCTCCCTCTGCTGAAGAAACTCCTGCAGTTCTGTAGGAAAATGGAAAAGCACAGGACAGAGGTTCATTAGCAAAGGAAGACCTGGAAAATCTGCATTTTATAGACCTCTATTTGCATTTTATGTTTCCTCCCAAGCTACTTAACCAGAGAGAAGCTGAGTTTCGAATAAAACATAGAGGAACTGATAATCCCCAGCAGTATTTTTATTATTTTGGCTCTTGAAGAATGCTGCCTAGCTGAAGGTAGCTGGAGCAGTGAGAATTCCCAAAGGCAGGATGCACACACAATCGAGCCTGTCCATGGGGTGCCTTTTCCCCACTCCAGGCTCTGTGATGCTCCTTTGGAGGGGCAGATTTGAAGCTGCCTGCAGGGAGGGAAGCACCTCGGCTGTGAAGTGTCTGACAAGGGTTGGGATCGCTCCTCTGGAGTCTTGGGGGAACAGTTGTACAGAGGAGCAGCACCCACCAGGGACATTGGCAGGTTTTTGGGCAATCCCAGCTCCACATGAGCAAAAGCAGCAGGGTTGGGATGTGCCCTGGGAGAAGGGAAGGTGCTGGATAATCCCTGGATTAGCAGGGAGCCTGCACTGGGTGCTGGGGCTCCGTTAACAGCCGGGTGTTGGAGGACCCACACCCAGGTCCCACCTGCCCTGGCAGGTGTTTAATGCAGCCCTTGGAACTGAGACCTTGCTGGTGGCTTGTCCCCACTGTCCTGGAAGGCTCTGCTCATCAGGAGAACAGCAGGCTGTGCCCTAATTCCCGTTCTCACAGCTGATGGGAAAACAGGAGCACAGTGAGAGGCTTTGGTTTGTCTGGGAGAAACGATGGGGTAGGACCTTGTGTGAGCTGTGAAAGGAGGGCTGCTGGAGCGTGTGAATGATGTGCAGAATTGGGGCAGTCAGATGGAGAGGAAACAGCTCAAAAAGCAGAAAACCCCAATAACTCTCTTTGTTTCAGCAAAGAGTCTGGATGCCCTGATTAAAATCTGATCCCTGGACAATGGAAATGGGAAAGGAGTAAAATTGTGCTTCTGCTGAGATCCGTGCCTGGGTTTTGTACAACACAGTGGGTGTGAATCCAGGGCTGAAATCCTTCCTAAAATCTTGAAGATAACATGGTGTTTTCTCACCATAGATGTCCTGTCCCCCCTTGAAGCGTCGCATAGGGTGGAGCAGGCAGCTCCATGTGGGTGCAGAGCCCAAAGCCTGGACTCCTTCATCTCCTCTGGGCCTGCCCTCGCTGCAGTGGCAGCTTCCCCCCAGCTCCCTGGGCAGGGGGACCCCCAGAGCCCCCGGCCACGAGCCCCATCTGCCTCTGCCAAGGCGACCTGCGAGTGCCCAGGGCAGGAGCACGGCCGGTGCCACCTCTCTGGACACCTTCAGCAGGACCCCTGCGGCGAGGCCAGGTACTCCACGATGCCAAACCCAGCCGTTTGTGTCCTGCTGTCCTCACTTGGTGCTGAGTGGAGTTGACTGGAGCAGAAAAGTGATGAGTGTTGAGCGAGTCGTTGTCCCCTGGAGCTGATCAAAGTCCTTGTGTGGTCCTGGGTGGGTTTGGGTTGGGAGGAAACGAGCTGGGACATCCCAAGGGGAATGCTGTTGGCTTTGCAGAGGGACATTTCCTCTTCCTTTCTCCTGGTGTGGGACCCAGAAGGGCCAGGAGTGACTTTATCTGCCCCAGTGGCCCCTGTGCCTGCTCCTGACCCCTGTGTGGAGTTTTTCCCTGCTTTGAAGTGGCTGCCTTGAGTGAAGGCACCTGAAAATAGATCTGATGCACCTCTGGGAACAAACTGTGATGGAGCAGGGCAGAGGTGAGGGTTTGGGCCAGCTGGAGAGTGTGACATTTGCCATGAATGTTACATTCATGCACAGTGCTGTGGTTTTCCTGCTGTGGGATTTTTGGGCTGTCATAAGCAACAAACTCCTCTTTTTGGGAACAGCCCAAAGGATCTCCATGCCCTAAAGGCAGCGAGCAGAGCTATTCCCATGTGGGAAGATGAAAAAGGACAGCTTTCTGAGGGGCTGAGCAGTGCTGGAAAATAAGGGCAGCCTCTCTTCTCTGTGTCTCTGCTGCTTTTAGGCTGTTTGGGTTCCCTGAGGTGAATTAACTCTCTCTTCTGTGCAGTTTACACTCTAAATGTCATTTTTTTATTTTTCTGCTGGTTGTGAAGCAAACCCCCACCCTGAGTAGTGGCCACTGCCTTGGAGTAGTTTTGGGCCAAGGGAAAAGGATGCTGCAGGGAGCACTTCTGCCAGCTCTCCTGCTGATAATTTGCTTTCTTCCAGTCTCAGCCAGCTTCCCAGGTGATGGTGCAAGGGGGGGACCCCCTTCCCTGGGCACTCACCAGGTGGATCTCCTCCTGCAGGAGAAGGTAATGCTGGGGTGGGAGTGAGGAATGCCATCCCTGTCCTGGCCCTTGGCAGAGCAGCTGAATCCTCCCAAATGTCTGTGTCCCACCAGGAGTCCCAGCAGGGCGTGGGGGCCGCCACCAAAGCGGGTGGATGGGGACAGGGGTGGCTGCAGGGTGTGGGAAGCCAGGGACAGCGGGTCCCTTGCTGATGGCCATGAGCTGGAACCCCTGGGCTGGTGGTGTGGAGTTTCCGTGGCTGCAGACTGAGCAGTGGCACCTGAATCTGCCAGCAGGGTGAGAAGCTGCTGGAGAAGGAGATGGGTCACCTTTTTGGTTTGGACACAAAGGGGAGGGATGTGGTGATAAGAGACCTGCAGGAGGAGATCGCAGCCACGGCAAAGAAACTGGCCCAGGCAGCAGTGAGGAGCGAGGCTGAGCTGACCCAGAAGCTGCTCACCCTCAACCGAGAGCTGGGAGCCCAAACAGAGGAGATCAAAGCCCTGAGGGAACAGGTACTGGGGGCTTTCATGGGCAGGGAAAACCTCTCAGGTACAGGTGTGCTTGTGGTGTACCAGCCAGGCTGGGGCAGGAGCAGTTTGTGTGGCTGAAATCAAGGGAAATGAGGGAGGGAGGGTTTTTCCTTCCCATCCTTTCCAATCCCTTCTTTCCTTCTTTCTCTAATGCCTCTGGCATTAGGATTTCAGCAGGAACAGCCAGAGCACATTTAAAAATGCCCTATATGGAATTCCTAGGTGGAATTTGAAGATGCTAAAGAACAGTCCCACCAAACCAGAAGTGCCCTCTCCAAAGGGGCTGTAGCAGTCAGTGAATGTTCTGGTGAGGAGCACGGGTAAATCTGTGTTTTGCAGGTCAGTGACCTGCAGAAAGGCTCAAACCAGGTTTTCAGCCATTCCCTTCATGAGAGAGACCTGGAGATCGGGAGGCTGCGGAGAGAAAGTGAGAAGTTGAGGAGGGAGCAGGCTTTGACTGCAGGTATTGTATCCCTGGAGCTCTGGGTCAGGGCATGAAGCAATTTGGGAATGGCTTTGGATGAGGAAGAAGCGTTGGTCAAATTGTACAGGCAACAAATTATTCCTAGTGGCTTGTAGGAATCAAATCACAGAATGGTTTGGGTGGGAAGGATCCCTAAAAACCACCTCATTCCACCCCTGCCATGGCAGGGACACCTTCCATTGTGCCAGGCTGCTCCAAACCCCATCCAACCTGGCCTTGGGCACTGCCAGGGATCCAGGGGCAGCCTCAGCTTCTCTGGGCACCCTGTGCCAGCCCTCCCCATCCTCCCAGGGAAGAATTTCTTCCCCATATCCCATCTAAATGTCACTCCTGGGTGACCTCTGATCAGAGTTGTTTTCCTCAGGTCTGATGAGCAACATGAAAAGGGAGCTGGTGCAAAAGGAGCAGAAAATCCAGCAGCTCCAGCAAGGGACCAAAAAACTGATCAAGGAAAAGCAAGAGAAGGACAATCAGCTGGCTGTGGTTTCAGCCAAGGTTGGCAGCACTAATGAGGGGCTCAGTGATTTATGACGTGGGGGTTAAGGTGGGAAAGCAGGTGAGAAGGGTCATGCCTCTCTCTGGTGAGGATGGCAGCAGCTCTATCACAGGGAGGTGATCCCATGACCATGGTGGTCCCATGGCCATGTCTGGGTGTGCCAGGATGCCCACGGATCAGGGTCTCCTTCCCCAGCTGGATCTCCCTCCCTGCTCTGCATCAGCTGCTGTGTGCCCCGGACTTCTGGGAGCACAGCAGCTGTTTGTACACACAAAATAATCCTGCCAAGGTCCTCCTGAGGAGCCACTGAAACCCTGTCACTGTGCCCTGGGTCCAACCCCACCAAGGCCACCACTAAACCACATCCCCAAGTGTCTTTTAAATCCCTACAGGGATGGCACTCAGCCTGGGCAGCCTGTGCCAGTGTCCCATCCACACCAGGTTTCACTGCCCTGATGTTTTTTTACCTTGGTTGCCATTCCTTCTAGTGCTTGAGAATTAAAGAAGAAATAAAGTGTGAACTCAGAGAGGAGGAACTAATCTCCTGCAGAAATGTGAGTCAAAAGTCATTTTTGGGGTAGGCAGTGGCTGCAGGAGCACATCAGTGAGGGAATCATTAACTGGGCACTGTAAGGGAGTGGTTTGGAGCTCAGCTCCTGTTCTGGAAGGCACAAAGTGGCCATCAGAGCTGGGGAAGTGGATCAGTAACTCTGATAATCAGTAACTCTGTTGGATCAGTGAGTTCTGGTGTGAAGGGGAGGGCAGGGGAAAGGCGGCTTGGGGAGATGTGATCAGAAATCAGATTGAGTTCCACTTGTAAGCTGAGATAACCACAGTAAATACAGGTTAGAAGAGAATTCCAGGGTAAACAAAGTGAGTTAGATGGGAAGCAAATCCTGCTGATCTGTGGAGGTCATCCAGAGGGGCGATGCCCAACTGCCCTGGTGAGACCCCTGCCCTCCCTGGGCTCTTGCAGCGCATCGAGGAGCTGGAGCAGGACCTGGAGGGGCTGAAGGGGGAGATCCAAAAGCACGAGAGTGTCCAAAAGCAGCTGGCTGAGAAAGCCAAGGTAGGCTGTTGGCTGCAGGGGACACACAGAGGGGTGGGACAGGGACCAGCAATCCCTGGGAGCAGAGGCTGGATGGGCAGGGGCATCCAACTGTCCTGAGCTCGATCATGGACCCTGATGGAAGAGGAAAAACAGATGGCAGAGTGCCCTGTGTGGGTGTTGGGTGAGGAAAACAAGGATGGACAATATTCCAGGGACCAAACCCAGACAAAAAGTGCCGTGAAGGGTGGATGCTGCAACCCCACTCCCTACAACAGGATTGCTGTCTGTCTCCTGGTATTCCAAAGGCACATTTGGACTTGTCTGATGGGAAGAGTGGTTGGAATGCCCATGGCATGGTGTTGGACGTTGCTGTGAGGTGCCAAAGCTCTCTTTGCAGGCAGAGGAGGAACTGAAGGCAGCCTGGTCCCAGCAGGCGGAGCAGCTGCGGGAGATGGGGCACAGGGAGCGCCTGCTGAGGTGTGAGCTGCAGAGAGCTGGGGAGCAGGTAGGGAATGGCAGGGATGGGAACATCCCCACTGGGGCTGTGGGCAGCACAGGGATGCAGCTTCCCATGGGGAAGGATGTGCTGTGGAAACAAGTCCTGAGCACCAAGCCCTGGCACGGTCATGGGTGAAGAATAAAAGGCTTATCCACAGGATTTGTGTGGGCAGCATGGACAACAGAGCATTTATTAGCATACAGAAAAGGAATCTGTAACCTTAGTTATGCTGTCTGCGAGCCACACCAGCCCTCCTCAGTGCCTGGGTAATTCTGCTCTGGGCAGGGGCAGCCCTTTGCTGATAACATGATGCCAGATATTGATTATCAGTGATCAGCAGAGCGGCTGTCAATGCTCGGTGGTGTTTGTTCCCGTGTGTTGATCCCTGCTGCAGCTGGAGTCCTTCAAGACCCGAGTGATGCAAGTCTGTTCTCCATCAGCAGCTGGCAGCACAGGGGAGTCTGTAACAGAGCAGCAGGTGAGTTTGGACAGCAGCTCACAGGGATGTTCAGAGCCACCAAAGCTCCAGGCAGTGGCTGCAGAGCTGCCTGCTCCATGGGCAGTAGGGCTGCAGCATCCAGGCTGCCCCAGATTTGTGCTGTGGCTGTCCCAGGGTGATGGCACTGCTCCATGACATGAAGGGGACAGGGTCCTTTAAGCTTGGAGGGAGTCAGTGTCTGCAGCAGGGACAAGCCCAGGGGTCTGACGTGGCTGCCAGTCTGCAGCAAGTCTCAGCTGCGGCTCTCTGAGACCATCCCTGGCCCCTCAAAACAGTGTGAGCCTTATCCTCCTTCTTCCCCCACTTTTGCCAGGTGATAGAGAAGGTCAGGCAGATCTCTGATGAGAGCCAACTGAGTCACGAGAGAGAGAAGAGTCTGCAGAAGGAATTGAGCTCCAAGCTCGCAAAGGAGGAGGAGGTGTCAGCAAACATCGAGGTGTTCAAGAACTCCCTGCAGAAGCTCCAGGTCAGCCCTTTAAACACTGAGGACCGAGTGGCCAAGGGTGTTTTGTTGGCCTGAGGAAAGGTCAGAATAAAGATACAACCCTGAAACAAATCGTCATCCCTAAGTGTTCATGTGGTCCTTCAAGGAGGAAGGAATCTCCTGTGAATTCTCCATAAAGCCCACCCTGTTCCACCCCTTGCCATGGACAGAGACACCTTCCACTGGACCAGGTTGCTCCAAGCCCCATCCAACCTGGCCTGAGCTGTTCAGAAGTGTTGTTGCCATTTGCCAGTCCCTGAAGGCCACTGACAGTGGAGATTGGCTTGTTCCCCACTGGTTCCATTTGTTCCAGGCTTGCCTGAGGAGCTCCTGCAGCAGCTCCAGCCTGAGAGGGGAGCTGGGGCAGCTGGAGGTGTTGTGCCTGGATCCCTCTGTCTCAGCCATCAGGACAGCAGTGGTGGACATGACACGTGGTCCCCTGGCCTGGCTGGAGGGTGCAGAGCAGCTCCTGGACAGCCTGGGGATGGACCTGCACACCTCTGGCAAAGGTCTGTGTCCTTCTGGGCATCCCTGGGAATGTGGGGTGTCCCAGCAAGCCAGATGGAGAGGAGAAAGTCCAGCATGAGCCACTCCTGGGGGAGAAAATCACAGAACCATGGAAATTTTAAGGAAAATACCTCCAAGATCACCAAATCCAACCATTAAGCCAACACTGCTCCCAAGTGCTCACACTTTTTGAACACTTCCAGGGATGGTGGCCTATTCCAATGCCTGAGCATCCTTTCCATGAGGAAATTTTTGCAGATATCCATGATATGGTGTGTGAGCTCCCCACACAGTGAGGCTCCATTGGCTTTTGCAGGGCTGTTGGCTGCTCTCGAGAGCTTGTCAGAGAAGATGCAGGAGATGGCACAGAGCAATCAGAGGTTGCAGGTACAGAAATATTTATGCACATAAAGCAGGTGGATTTGGACTCTTCCTATGGGTAAATATGATGGCAAACAAGCCAGTGTGGCACCTGGACTGGGGATGTGGCTGGGATCCCTGAGTGCAGGAAATGCAAGGTCAGACAGAGCCACTGTCAGTGTGTCCATATCCCCAACACAGCAAGGGTGGAGAGGAGATCTCTTGTGAATTTTTTTGTGAGTGAGTGTACACAGGAGGTTTATTTCTTGCCCTGCTGCTGACAGAGTTCCTTTAATACCCCCGTGTCTCCCTGTAGGAGCAATTAGAGAAGCTCCAGGAGCTGCAGGCAGAGCTGCTGCAGGAGCACACAGAGGAGCTGGAAGCTAAGCATGAGCAAGACTTAGAGATAAAAATCCAGCAAATCATCCTGGAAAAGGACAAGGAGCTCAAACAGGTACAGTGGCGTGGTTGGTGTTTCAGAGGAGGAATGTTATGCAGGAAAAATGGATGCCTGTAACAATGTTGGATAACGAGAGGAGGAACCTCCAGCCCCGAGCTGAGTGCAGCCCCAAGGGACTGGGTATCCTCCCATATGGATCCAGGTGATGTAAACTCCCAAAAGTATCCGTGGTGGGACGGGGAAACACCTGCAGGTAACATCAGGAGTTAACATCCCAGTCACTGGGAGAAAGGACAACACAAGGAGCATCATCCATGAGCTGAGGGAAACACTGCATTGCTTCCTCTCAAGCCTTCTCCCCCTTCTTCCCTCCCTCCCTCCCCGTGCTGGGCTCCAGTTGGCTCCTTTTTGGCTGGAAAAGGATATCCCTGTGGAGCAGGGATAGCCAGGGGAGCCCAGGCCAGCCCCCCAGGAGCTCTGGTGTGGGATGCAGGGTCACTCAGGGTGGGTGTGTTGTGATCATGGTGGCCCTGTAGGACAGTTTCCAGTCTGCCTGTGTGTCTGGCACCTCGGGAATGGTGTTTTCCTGCTGTTCAGTTCTCTAAGGATTCGTCTGGCACCTCGGGAATGGTGTTTTCCTGCTGTTCAGCTCTCTAAGGATTCTGGCAAGGAGCAGCCAAGCAGCTCCTACCCAGTCTCTCAGCTGTTCCTTTCCCCAGGTGTTCCCATCCTCTCCTTCACTGAGTTATCTGTGTCCTGCCAAGCTTTTCTCCCATCACCCACCCCTGCTCCAGAGAAATGACCCTTCCTGCTGCTTTTCTCCTTGGAGGTCTTTTTCTTTTTCCTGAAGTGAATCTGTGGGCTGTTGGTTCACAGATTCTGGAAAGCGCCGTCGCTGAGGAGAAGGACAAGTGCAAGAAGTCTGTGGAGGAAGAACAGAAGAAGATCCAGGAGTTGGAAAGCCACCTAAGAAGCATGGCTGAGGTGAGCATGGGGGGGTGAGGCAGAACAGCTCCCTCCTGGAATGAAGAAAAGGGAAAATGTGCTGCAGTCTGGTGCTCCAGGGGCTCAAATCAGTGAGCAGAGGGGTCCCCCCTCTCCCCAAAACACACAGAGAAAGAAAGGTGGGTTCAGGCTAACCTAATTACTGCTAATTTCCTCTGGTAGGCAACAGCAAAGAAGGCAGAGGAGCAAGAACTGACGGAGGGAAAGCTGAGAGAAGCTTTGCATGAGCTGAAGAAAATCACTGCACAAGAGGTATTTGCACTGACCCACGCAGGTGGAGGATCAGTGCTGGAGGAGAAGGCTTCCCCCATCCCTGAAACCCTTCCCTCCACCTTTGTGACCTCCATCTAGGAGAGATGAGGCCAGTGGTGATCCCAGAAGAAACCCCCAGCACTTCCAACCCAGCTGCCACTTCTCGTTTCCCAGGTGGTGCTACAGCAGCAGGTGCTTCAGCAGGACCAGCAGCTCAGGGCTGTCCAGGAGGAAAACGAGTCACAGAGACAGAAACTGCTAGAAGATGTAGCAGGATACAGGGAGCAAAGCAAGCAGCACTCCCTGACCATCCTGGCTTTAGAGGACAGGCTGCTGGAGGCCACTCAGCAGCAGAAGGTGCTGGAGGAGGAAAAAGCAGCACTTGTGGGAGAAATAGAAGGTAGGTGAGGGTTGTTTGGGATGCACCTGTACCAGGAGGCAGCTGGGTTGACGTGAAACGCGTGTGGAGATGGAAGAGTGAATTTGCTGCTGTAGAAAACGTCGGGAAGATGTTGAGTGAAGGTTATTCCACCTGCAGGGCGAGCTCTCTGTGAGGCCCTGCAGAAGCTGTGTCATTGTTTGGTGGTTTTGGAGAACAGACAGGGCTTTGCCACTGGAGAGGGGCTCTTTGCCCTCTGAAATGACAAGATTGGTGTGCTTTGGGCTGCTCTGAGACAGAAGCAAGTCTGGATGTCAAGAACTGTCCAGCTGGCCATGGAACTGGGCTCTCAGGGACGTGGGCTTCCCAAAGAGACAGTCCTCAGCCCTCAGGAGGAAATGATTTGTGTAGAGAAAGCAACAAGAATGTGTTACAAAGAAGTGATTGGCCTTTTTCCTCGTGTCCTGTAGGGCTGCAGTGTGCTGCCCACAGGTCAGCACCGGGAGCTTGGCCGGGGATTTGTCCTGCCATGGAGTCTCACGTTTGTCTGAGGTGAGCAGCACTCACTGATGGTGATCAGAGAAGCTTGGAGAAGGGCAGGGACCACCTGGGACAGCCTAAGGAAGTCCAACACCACTTGCCCCAAGATCTCATTAGTCCTTTTAGGGTGGGACTCCAGTCCCTTTGCTAGGCTGAAGTGATCCTAAGGACGTGGAGCATCAAAGTGATGCCAAATAGCACGTGAGGCTCTGCCATCCCACCTGGATGGCTCCAGGTAAGATCAATGGAGTGGCCAATCCCATGGCACAGGGTAAGCCCAGGGGACCAAAAGGCAGGTGAAAAAAGGGAATGTGTGGATTAACCAGGAAGGCGTGCACGGGTGCCCTGCCACGAGGTTCCCCACTGGCTGTGAGGTCTGCACTGATCTTCCCCAGGAAACTGCGGGAGGAGCTGGCAGTGGCACAGGGCACGCTCCTGGAGGAGAGGGCAGTCATCAGCAGGCTCAGCAGGGAGCTGTCAGAAACCAGAGCCAGGATGTCAGACATGAGAGGTGGGTGATGTGTGGCTGCCATCTCCACGCGGCGAGGCGCACACGGATCACAGGAAAGGGGTGGCACCATTCTCAGGAAATGAGAGTGGTGACACCCATTTGTCACCTGTCCTGCTTGGGGCAAAGCAGGCAGTCTGTTCTCTTTGAGAGGGTGAATTTCTCCCCATCCTTGGCTGAGTAGTAGCAGTGACAATGAGAGAGCAGAGTAATCACGGGGAGAGCAGGTAGACAAAACTCAGAATCACTCTGGTGAACTTCTTGGAGCTGGAGATGTTCCAAGCCCGGGAGGACTGGGAGAACCTTGCCTGGGATTCCTCCATGGGCTGTGAACCTGGGGAGAGAGCCCGTGAGGAATGTGTGGAGTCAAAAGATGCAAGTCAGGAAATGCTGGTGACCTGTCCTCCTTCAATCTGGAGGAAAATTGCCACAGCAAGGAATTGCCCTGGCTTAAACCTCCACAAAGAGACTGGGATGTCCTGCTGGCATGGCCCAGCACCTGAGGGCACTGTCAAGGGCAGGGATGAGCCCCATTGGTGCTTCCATGAGGCTGCCCCAGCTGCAGATCCCCCAGGACTGGGTGATGAGCCAGCCAGCATCCCACGGGGCTGCTCTGTGCTTAGGGGAGCTGAGTGAAGAGCAGAAGGTGGAGCTGGAGCACAGCCAGAGGCAGCTGAAACACCGGGAGTGGGAAGTGAACCAGCTCCGGGAGAAGCTATCCGAGATGTCCAGCCTCGTGGAGGAGAAGGATGGGGCCCTGAAAGCAGCAGCTCAGGAGTTAAGGTACACCCTGACACCACCCAAGGATTCACAGACGTGTGTGTCCCCAGCAGCTGATGGTGTTTAGGGTTCTCCCCAGAGCACAGGGCTCTGAGAGTATCAGGATGGAGCTCAGCTCTGAATCCACGACACAGGATTCAAAAACGGGGCTTTACTCATGCCAGTAGATGTGTAACTCAGGCACTTGTATCCAAGCCAGTGTTGCCACCCACACCGTGGTAGTCATCAGTGGGTGCTGGGGGTGCTGCTCTCCAAAAGCTCTTTGGGTCAGCCTCACCCATCACGGGGTCCCACAGCATCTTGTCCCTCCCCACAGCCAAGCCCAAACGCGCTGCCGGGTGCTGAGGGACGCTTCCCAACAAACACTGGAGAGCCCAGAGGATGCTCCCAGGACACCCCTGCAGGTGGGTGAAGCCTCTCAGAGGGGGAATCATCACGGGGAGCACCGAGGCGTGGGATTGCCAAGAGCGCCCGTGGTGTGCATGGTGTTTGTGGGTGAGAGCCTGGAGCTGCTCCACGCTGGCCCAAGGGTGGGATGCTTGGAGCCCCTTCCCAAGCCCAGGGCCACCTGTGATCCAGGGAACCACCAGGCTGCTGCTGGCTAAGGAGATGATGCCTTGGAAGCAATTAGAGGGAACAGCACCGTGTGAGCATTCCTTCCTCCTCCCAGCCTGCCGAGCTGCGGGTGCTGGCTGTGCAGAGCAGGACCAGCTCTGGGGCTGTACGCTCAGAAACAGGGGCAGCTCCTTGCACAGGACGAGAAGAAACGCTCCTCCTTCTCCTGTGCCAAATCCCTGCTTGATTTCCCCGAGGCTGGAAAAGGGAAGAGCTCGCAGGTGGTGGCAGCAGCAGATGGAGGGACTGTAGGAATTGTACATTCCGTACAGCCAGCGAGGCCGGCTGGCTGCGGGGGCTGGCCACTGACTCACAGCCAGCTGATGAGCGGGTGGGAGGTACTGCCAGTCCTGTTCCACCTTCTGAGATGGGGAGGGGGAGATCCCAGCGCTGGGGGGGCCATTGGGGAGCGGGATGGGCGGAGATGGGGGTGGTGAGAGCGGCCAGATCGGAGCTGGGGGTCTGCAGCCGTCGTGGCTCTAGCCCCATCACAGGTTTCTGGGTGTTTGTCAAAGTGTGGGGTCTGGATGGGGCTGGGAGAGGGTGCACGTGTAGAGAGTGATGTCCAGGTCTGTGCAGGGACACAGGTGTTTGTGTGAGGGTGCAGAGGACAAGGGAAAAACGCCAACGTGGCTGTTCAGAGCTGTGCACCAACCCTCTTGTGGGTCTCCAGAGCATTTGCAGGGTTCACATCCTGACCATGGCACAGCAGAGCAGGAAGGAGGTCTCTGACAAGTCTCTTATACCCCCACAAAATCCATGGAGATGCTCCCCAGGCTTTGTTCTTGCTCCAAGTGCCCGGTGTCTGGCAGCAAGGCTGTGTTTACCAGACTGGGCAAGGACCTGACTTCTTCCAGGAGCCACCATCAGACTTGGCTGAGTTCGGTGCAAAATGCCGAGGCCTCAGGCACGAGGAGACGATCCAGCGCCAAAAAGAAGGTTTGGCTGAGCTCCGGGAGAGAGTGAAGATGCTGGAGAAGAGGCAGTGCTCAGGTGAGCAGGGCTCTCCTAGAATTATGGAATGGTTTGCGTTGGAAGAGGCTTTAAACAACATCGTGTTCCACTCCCTGCCATGGGACACCTGCCACTGTCCCAGGGTGCTCCAAACCCTGTCCAGCCTGTCCTTGGGCACTTCCAGGGATCCAGGAACAGCCACAGCTTCTCTGGACACCCCGTGCCAGCCCTCCCCACCCTCACAGGGAGGCTGGGAAAGCTGGGAAACCTCAAAGTTGTGTGGAGAGTGGAACAATTTGGCATCTGCTTGTGTGCCTCCAGGCAATTTCGAGCCACTGGTGGTCCAGATGAGAGACTTGCCAGAGAAAAGAATCCAACAAAGAGGTCTTGAGCTGGAACCTGCACCTGTGTTGGGAGAAAAACTGAAGGCTGGCAAGGCAGGGAGGCAGTGTGAGGTTTGTAATTTGGAAATGACAAACTTTGACTTTGGAAAGCACGCCCTGGGAAAGAAGAAATAGGTTTTTAGAGGTAAGAAAGTCAGGGTGGGAGATGCAGCCTGATGGGTGGCAGGCAGTGCTCCTGCAGAGGGTGGCAGCTCCATCAGGACCAGCACATTGCCTGGGGCTGGTGGGATTGCAGCAGGGATGGATGGGCTGAGCAGGGTGGGAGGCTTGGGACCGCAGCAATGCTGGGGTGGATTTCCCATGAGGTGAAAAAGAGGCTCAAGGCCACTTGACCGAAAAAAACCTGTCCCAAAGTGGTCTCCATGGGTCTTTCCCTGTCTGTGCAGGTTCCTGACCGTGTTCCTCATGGGGGCTCGCTCAGGATCACCAGCTGGGAAGTGGCTGAGGCGACAGACTTGGGTGAGGAGATGGTATGTCAGGGTTAGGTGTGGTAAATCACGTGTAGAGTGTGTGCACATGCCCCGTGTGTAGAGTTCAGGTGTTCTTTGAACACATTTCAGGGGTATCACACCAGGAATGTTGAAGATGAACTGCTCTGTGGCCCAGTTGAAGACATCCCTGTCCGTGGCTGGGGGGATTGGTTTGATGACCTTTAAATTTCCCTTCCAAACTAAACTATTCCATGATTCCATGGCCCAGAGCACATTGTGTGTCTGCCAGGACATCCTGGGACCCCAAAACATGCCACAGTGCATCAGAGAGGCTGGGGAGCAATGGAGGGAGCTGCTAGGGAAGGGGTCCAAGGGTAGCACAGCTGGTGGGTTGGACAAAGTGGGTCTTTTCCCTCCAAAAAACACCCAGCAGGGAAAACAATCATCTCAGGGAAAGCAATCCCATCCCAGTAAGCCGTGCAGCTGGGAATGGAATGCAAACCTGCTTTCCTCAGGACACTGTCGTCTCCTCAGGAGAGCAGACAGAAAGCAGATGGCTGAGCAGCGTGATGGAACGCAGCAGACCTGGTAAATAATGCATTGCCTCTCTTTCCCACAGTACCTTGATGTAATTGGTGCTCTGGGAAGCCTGGTGGAGATGAAGGAGCTGTCAGGAATGCAGCCTCTGCAGCACCTGCCTCAGGAGAGAAGGGCAGAAGTGGGACTGCAGAGACAGAAGGCCCTGGAGCTGTTGTACAAAAAGATCAGGAACCTCCAGGTTCGCCTGGAAAGGAAAGAAGAAATGCTGAAAGGTTATGAGGGAAGTGTGGAACAGCTCAGGTATGGAAAGCCAGGGTTCTGAACATGACCTGGTCCTTGGATGCCAAGTGACAGAGAGCTTGGGGCAAGGAGTGACACTGCTGAGTCCTGTGTCTGTCTGGGACCAGTCTGTGTCTGTGGCCACGGTACCAAAGTCAAATGTCAAGAGGAGTGGGGAAAGGTGCTCCCAGTTTTCTACAGTGGTACCTTCTGCAGCCTGACATGGTTGAGCAGTGTCAGAGCCGTGTCAGGTTCCCTTGTCCTGGCTGGCTGGAGCCTGGGACAGCAGCAGCATCGGCTGGGGCAGAGGGACGGTGTCAGCAGGACCAAGGGAGAGCACAGCTGAGGGTCAGGGGGTCGATAAGGGAAAAAAACCAACAGAATCTTCCCCTCCTGTTTTGCACAGGCAGAGCCAAGCTTCCCTGAGAAGGTGCCAGGAGGAGATGTCCAAGCTGGAAGATGAAGCCCACAGGGAGGCAGAAGAGAAGGCTCTGCTGCGAGAGGCTCTGGAGAGGATGCAGCTCCAGCTGGACCGGGAGAAGAGGCTGCGGCAAGCGGCCAAGCGGCACAAGGTGAGGAGGCAACACCCAACTGCTGCTCTTTGCACAACAGCCAGCTCCACCTGTTGGGAACCATCCACCGAGTGAGCACTTGGACCATCCCAAGAGGCTGGAGGCTCCAGGCTCAGCCACAGCATCCCTTGATGAAGCTGGAGGAGGTGCAAACACCTGTAGCGATGGGTTTGTATCATGATGAAGCTGGAGGAGGTGCAAACACCTGTAGCGATGGGTTTGTATCATGTAAGAGAAGAGCAGGTCATGCTGAGCTCTGGTGGAGAGAACAGAACCAGGTCATGCTGAGCTCTGGTGGAGAGAACAGAGCCAGGTCATGCTGAGCTCTGGTGGAGAGAACAGAACCAGGTCATGCTGAGCTCTGGTGGAGAGAACAGAACCAGGTCATGCTGAGCTCTGGTGGAGAGGACCAGGTCATGCTGAGCTCTCATGGAGAGGACAGAACCAGGTCATGCTGAGCTCTGGTGGAGAGGACCAGGTCATGCTGAGCTCTGGTGCTCAACGCTGTGTCTCTGTTGTCTCTGTTCTGCAGCCTGGAGCCACAAAGCCTCTCTGCTCAAGCAAGGCCAAGGAGCACGTGGCTGATGCTGTCAAATTGGGAAGCTCACGGGAGCAGCACCATGGGGACCTTCACTAGGTGTTGGTCTGCAGGAGGAACAGATCATCACTCTGGACTCTGAGGGTGGAGCTGGCATGAGGCCTGGGTGCATTTTGAGGAGCTCCAGTTTGTATCCTTGGGCACACTGGTGCCAGTGGACGATGCTGGACCTTATTTTCCACGTCCCACAGAATGTGGTGGGATTTGTGGCAGTGGAGAAGGTGGGGAGGATATTGTCCAGTGTGGATATTTGTGTGTGAACACAGCCCAGTGTGAAGTCACTCCTGGGGGATGTGTCCTGTCCTTGCTGAAGTGGCCTCGAGCACACAGAGCCAACATGGCTTGAAATATCCCTCACAGCTCCTGTGTCCTCCAGTCCCCATCGTGTCAGGGGGAAACTGGAACGTCAGGCACGATGTTGAGTGATGCAGGGAGGGCAATAAGTGATGCAGGGACGGCGAGAAGTGATGCAGGGAGGGCAATAAGTGATGCAGGGAGGGCAATAAGTGATGCAGGGACAGCGATGAGTGATGCAGGGAGGGCAATTAGTGATGCAGGGACGACGAGAAGTGATGCAGGGAGGGCAATGAGTGATGCAGGGAGGGCAATAAGTGATGCAGGGAGGGCAATAAGTGATGCAGGGAGGGCAGTAAGTGATGCAGGGAGGGCAATAAGTGATGCTGGGAGGGCAATAAGTGATGCAGGGAGGGCAATAAGTGATGCAGGGACAGCGATGAGTGATGCAGGGAGGGCAATAAGTGATGCAGGGAGGGCAATAAGTGATGCAGGGAGGGCAATAAGTGATGCAGGGACAGCGATGAGTGATGCAGGGAGGGCAATAAGTGATGCAGGGACGGCAATAAGTGATGCAGGGAGGGCAATAAGTGATGCAGGGACGGCAATAAGTGATGCAGGGAGGGCAATAAGTGATGCAGGGAGGGCGAGAAGTGATGCAGGGAGGGCAGTAAGTGATGCAGGGACGGCGAGAAGTGATGCAGGGACGGCAATAAGTGATGCAGGGACGGCGAGAAGTGATGCAGGGAGGGCAATAAGTGATGCAGGGAGGGCGAGAAGTGATGCAGGGAGGGCAGTAAG